CATATTTTCGTTAGAGTAAGTTAACCGCACTTTTCAGTGTACATCTTTCGGCTATTTAAGTTGGGCTTCGCCGAGCAAAAAACGCCGTATTTTCAAACAATTTTTTTAAAACAAAAAGTGAAATATTTTATTCAAATTATGTTTATTATTCCAAAGATACATATTTGACAAAAATTTTATGAAGTCTTCAAAGTAAAACTATTCAAAACTCGGTCATTGCGACGTCGTTTCCGGTAGTACCTCGGAAAAAAGGTGCTGCCGCGTTGACAACAAAACTCTTCTGATAGGATCATCAAAAGTAAAAAAAAAAATAAGTACTTGAACTAAGACTAGACATTAGCTAGGTACTGGACGTAGAAAAAATAAATAAAGATAACATTGTATTTTTGGCCGACGTTTTTACAAAAACACGCAAACTTTGGTGAAAATTTCTCGACGTTTTTTGTTTTTTAAATGGTTGTAATTGAACAAACAAAAATCCTTCGTGCAAGACTTTGTAAGTTATATCTCAAAGACCTGTGTATAATTTCATTAAGATCGGTTGAGTAGTTTGAAAGCACAGTTTCGAGAAAAACGCGCTTAAAGTTTCAAGTGACTATATAGCTGACCTCGAGCGCGCAACTTTTCAAAGTAGTATCTCCAAAACTATTACTTGGAGCAACTTGAGCATTTAAGACAATATTCTAGAGATGTTATAGAATTAAATAATACAATAATTTTTTTTTTTTGTTTTTTGAAGCTGTGAAACCCACGTAACCCCTTAAGGAGCTGTGCTGAATGGTCCAAAAAACTTATTTATTTATGAATATGCCCAGCATATTTCTTACGAATTTTTGATCGGAGAACAAAAAGGCAAACCACAAATAGTCTCTCCAGCAACGGCACAATGTAGATGATAAAAGCTTAGAAGCCTACGGCTAAAAGATAAGAATGGTCCCAACTGGTTCTTTGTGATGCGAAAACTCCTTGATATGAACCAAAAAACCATCATGAGTTGACGAAGCGCTTTTATCTATTCAAACAATTTTTAAGGCGATTAATATCAATTTCGAGAAGCTTGCTTTTCGATATTTTTTCTTTATATTAAATTATGTTTCAAATAAGTACGAAGTGGTAAACGGTAAATTTATCGAACATTTATTACATCACAACCTCAAATTTTTTACTCAAGACATTTATTTCTTAGAATACACACATCTATGCAACTAATTTTCCAAATTTTCTGTAGAACTCGATTTTCGTGCCAGCACAGCACTGGCATACTAATTTAATTGAAAATTTGTGGGTTCATAAATTTTCCTAAGTTTGGTTTTTGCTGGTCATATTGATCATGTAATTGAAATGTTCATTAGCAACTTGCGTACCGATCACACAACTAACATTTGTTGTTGTAGCAATACCTGCGCACACACATATACAAGTATATATGTATGTATGTGTATGTAACTAGTTTACATGAAATTTTCATAATTTTTCATTATAATGTTCGTGAGCTTATGCTAATTTATTACAATTTACCGTTGTCATGAGAATTTTGAGCAAATAAAGTTATTAAACATAATTCGAAGAACTCATAAACAAACTGTTTAAAACATAAATAGCCAAAAGCGTGTGCAATAAGAATACAAATCGCATGATATAATACAATTTTGGGTGAGTTTGAGGCAAAAAACGAAATAAAAATAAATTAAAATTGTAAAATGTAGCTAAACTACGCACGTGATTTTTAATTGAGTGCCGTTGAATTATTAACAAGACACTTAAAATTCTGGTCTTTTAATAAATATATTTATACTTTTTAGACAAATATATTTTTTGGTGGTAAGGAAATTATTAATATGTCGTATATTATTTCTTGGAAGCCATAATAAAGTTCGTGAGGGTAATAAATTACAACTAGGTGGTAATTAAATCAAATTGTGTATTAATTTATGTAATTAATTCATTATATAAATGAGTAAAAACATTTTTAAATTTTCTAACTGTGATTTATGGAATATTTTTTAGAAATCTATACTAATAATTTAGTGTGAACAGGTGATAAATGGCCGAAATAAAGCATTAAATGGTCAGATAATTGAATTAGATTTAATAGCTAACTGTAACCGCCGAAGATTCGGAAGTAAACCAACAGAAATTAAACTTGTTTCTAGGCTCGCTGATGAGCAGACTTTTAGTGAATAAAACTTAGTTTTCAAAAAAAGTGATATTACTGTACAATGAAAACTACTAAGGTCTAACAAGTTATCTACTATTATTAGCTCATTGCCCTCGTATTGAAATCGAAGTCACCTAGAAAGTTACACCTAGAAATGCTTTCTTTTATCTACTCACAAAAATATATTTGATTCCATGTATTTGAAGACAGACTGGTTATGAGATGGAAATTCTTCTAGCTTATCTTAGTTTAGGATTCAACGATAGATTACCACCGTGAGCTCACTAACCGTCCGCTCAAGGATGGTTAAAGCATGCCTAAGCTCGTTATCAATGGCAGCGAGTCACTTGATACTCGTAAGACTAGTATGAGTATCACAAGCAACTGTAAAGCTGCTGAGCTGGCTAGGAGGGGTTACCTAGCCCCGCTATCAGTAGAATAGGACCGGTTCGGTGCTCCCCTCTCCTTATCTGTTCGATCGATCGAGCGTAAGCGATCCAGTGAGCTCTCTGACCTCAGTAAGGTTAGGGTTCGGTTTGTTTATTAAAGGAGATTATTTTTTGGTATCGATGTGAGGATATATGGTGACCTTTCTATTGAAATTCGAACTGTGTGAAATAACTTCAGTTTTTGAAAGGTTTTATCGAAGAATTATGAAATTTTTTATTTGAATAACTATCCAAGAGATATCTTCTCATCACTAAATACTTTAATCTCCAGAGAGAAAAAATGTTACTCACACTCCTTCATATATTTTGAAAATATATGCATGCATAGAAACAAAACTTACCTTCTTCTGCTGGTTTTTATTGCTTAGAGTATTAAACAAATATTTATATATATGTATATCTTTTTAATAACTATAAAACTAATCATTTGTTTATACCGCTATGTGTGTCAACAATAATTAAACGCATAAAAGCTTAACAACATGTCTGACGGATCGTAAAAACATCAATTTGCTAGTCTCGTTGTTAAATGCAAATTGAAAGACCAAACAAAACGCGTCCCAAATACCACATGTTACAGCTACAACAACATAGCGCAATATTTGTCATCGTTATCACAGACATGCAAAATTAAAATTTATTTCGACTCATAAAAAATCATATTCAAAAGCCATGCAGCTTTCGCTCGCTGTTTGTTCACCTGTTTCCATTGTCATCGGCGTTAATTTGATGGCATGTTTTCACCACCTGCGGTGCCAGCCGGCAGTAACGTCTGCTTATGCCTTTGCGAATCAATCGTAGAGTCAACTCAGGAAACTAAATACGAAAACAAGAGAATTAACTAATTTTTACAAATTAACATTTTAGTCTTGTTATCCAGCGTAGAATTACTTTTGCTTGTCATAAGTACACAATTCTTAGGTGAAGGTTTTTTGACGAAATCTCGCAGGTTGCACGGATAAAACTTGTCTTACTGATGAAGTTCAAGGGGGGGGGTTCACTCCAATAGAGTGAGGGGACCTTGGTGTGTCGAAAGACAGCCACTCCACCTACTTACCTACCTACCCATATAAGTGAAGTCTTTATTGAATAAACAAAACTAGTAAAAGAGTATACAAATAGTAACCGATGAGTAAACTCCTGGAATATTCCCAAAAAAGATCATGCGATGTAATACATTGCGCGCTGTGATCGATTCATAATTTAAAGACAAGATCAAACGATCAATCGGCTTTAGGCTTATGGTAACTGTTAACATATAAACCAATTTTTCTTCATATGTCCATATATTTCCGTTTCTATAATTTTATTGGGACCACTGTGCTTGTGATTCAATACAACACATATTATTGTATAGCACGGTGCTCTTTCAACTTTTGACAAATTCGCAAATAAATTGTAATTAACATACTAAACAAAGTACTGCGCCCGATTATTAACCGTTCGAATGAGGTGGAATATCGAGTTTGTTTTATTTGATGCTTGCTGACTCGCCAAACGTGAGCGCAATTTTGAAGAAACTCGCTGTTTTTAACGACTGCCACCATTTATCACATAACCGTTAAATATTTGTATTCTGTATGTATGTGTGTGTGTGTAAATTAGGGTGGGCCAAAAATTAACTTAACGATTTTATTGGAAAAAAATCTCTGCAAAAAAATATTTAACTTAATTTTAAAAATTGTCGTTGAGCACTTTCCATATTTTTGAATATACAAATTTTTAATTGCAAAAAAAAATCACCCTGAGGTAGTTCTTTTTAGGAAATTTTGTCTCTACAAGAATTTGCGGTGTAAAAGTTTTATACTAAATGACTCAAAAGCTATGATACTTTTAGTGGAACAAAACTTTTTTAAAGTATTATTTATATGGGAAATTTTGAACGCTCACGGATCCCTTTGAAAATCAAACCAAAAATTCTGGCTTGCAAGCATATTTTTGTTCTCACTATATAGGTATGTATTCATAACTTCGATAAGTTATTTTTTTTTGGCTTACCCTAATGTGTATGTATATGGCTATTTTCACTTGCGCTTTACCGAGCAGCTGAGCCGGAGGGTGCACTCCCACCTGTGAATCGCGCTTGTTGCGGCATATCAACTTTATAATCAATTTTTAACTTTATTGTCAGTGTTAAGTGTCGCCGAAATGACTTGTTGCATGTAATTTATATGCCTAACATGTCATGCGCCAGTCAGTTGGTCGCGTTGGACATGTCACAGCTGTCATTCGAACGAACATAAATTCGACTGCAAACACAAACACTGAAATAGATACGAATATGCAGATGTACAGTTGTAGATATATACACGCTTACACATTTAAAAAGCATATAAGCAATTGTCTATGTAACGCTGGAGCGAAAGCAGCGCACTGATTTGGAAATAAAACAATTTTGTTTTTGTTAAATTACTAAGTAGTTCTTTGTTTACTACAATAATGTGTAATAATAATTTTATTTTCTTTTGATTTGTGTTTTTATATGTTTACATATATGTTTTTTTATTAAGTTTATAAGCAATACAATAAATAAACAAACGAAACGATTAATAGACTAATAATAATTAAAGGCAAGTAAAAGTAGAGAAGAAAGTGTGTTTGTGTGTATTGAAGTAAAAACCAGAAAAAACGTTAACCTCGGCTGCACTGAAGCTATAATACCCTTAACAAATGCATTTCTTATAGCATTAAAGGGTATAGAAAGCTCACTGAAAAGCTCTTGAATTTAATCGATCAGTTTATATGGCGGCTATATGCTATATTGGTCCGATCAGCACAATATATTCGGAGGTTATAGCGTTGCCTTGGGCAATAATCTATGACAAATTTCGTGAAGATATCTTGAAAAATAAAACAGTTTTGCATACAAGGAATTCATTTGACGGATCAGTTTATATGGCAGCTATATCCTGTAGTGCTCCGATATCGTCGATTCCGACAAGTGAGCAGCTTCTTGGGGCGAGAAGGATATGCGCAAAATTTCAGATCGATATCTCAAAAACTGAGGGACCAGTGCGCGTATATACAGACAGACAGACGGAGATGGCTAAATCGACTCAGCTCGTCACACCAATCATTTATATGTATGTATATACTTTATAGGGTCTTGCCGTTTTCTTCTGAGTATTACAAACTTCGTGACAAACTTATTATTTCCTGTGCAGGGTATACTTTTTCTTTTTCTTAACAAAGTAAACTTAAATTGCAAAAACGTATGAAACAATTGTTGAGAAGAAGTACTTAAATTACTAACAGTTTTAAAATATGCTGAAAAAAGCTTTCACTTACATTACATAAACATGTGAAACAATTGTTGAGAAGAAATTCTTAAATAACAGTTTTAAAATATGCTAAAAAAAGCTTTCACAAAAGCTTTTTAATCGTATACATTTGCTATGCTAATTTTTTCAGTAAGTTTAAAATTTTTTGTAATAATCTAAATAAATTTAATTATGATAATTTATTTTTTCAAGTCGAAAATGCAACTTATACTTTACTTTACAACCGTTGCAAGCCTAAATCACTAAACTTTTATTGATTGTACTTAAAGAGCATTGAAATGCTACTAAATGAACAAAACGCACCACTTAAAAAACTAGTCACTGGACGCTTAAGAAAATTTTACACACACACATGCAAACATATGAAATTATTGTAGAATTTAGTAGGCAAATATTAAATTTATTTTACACAAAAAAATATTAAATATTATATATGAAAAATTTTAATTCAAAAAATTTATTTTTTTTATTAAAAAAGTTTATATATAAAAAAAATTAACTTTATAACCAAAAAGAAATTAATAATTATTGATTTTAATTATAGTTGAAAAATTCAATTTTGGAATTAAAAAAATTCTATAACAAAAAAAATTAAAAATTTTTATTGATAAAAAAAATAATTAAAAAATAAAAATTATAATTTTTAAATTTAAAATGTATAATAAAAAATTTTGTATTAAATAATATTAACTTAAAAAATTTTTTTTTCACTACTCTCCACTCAAATTAGCAACCTAAAAATTTGTTAAACCACCCTAACTTAAAACAGCTACCCTTTATAAATACTTATTTAATTTTTTTAATTTCTTACAAATTAACGCAAATAATAATTGTAACAATTTTATAACTCCTCTAGGCACCGCGCATTGGTCAGCATGATTCGTGTGAGGCGCCACACTTGCTTCGCGGCATTCTCCAGCGCGCCGGGCGATTTGCCCTTGAACAAATCCATATTCGGTAGAAAATAGTGTGGACAACGACGGCACTGCAAGCAGGAAATCAGCTGCAGAAATATGCCGTTAATGCGATCAGCAATGCAATTCTCTTCCCATTCCATTTCGCGCGGATGCTTCTCACACTCGTAGAGCAGCAGTGTCTTCAGGTGGTATGAAGTGACCGGATTGCCGGGCAAGTCCAAATGTCGATCGCGTAATGTCTTCAAAATACTCAAACAACGCCGGCGACTGGCACCTGGAAGAGAGAAAGAGAATTAATTAATAAAATTTTCAATTTAAGTTTAGGAATACTTATATACTAGTATTAATCAAGTATATTATATAATTATATTGAAATATTTTTAAGTTTACAGTAGTTTTGTTCACCTAATTGAAGTTTTTAATAACATAAGATAAAATTAGTGAACAGAATAAAAATAGTTCATTTACTAGCCACGCGTTACTAATTTAACTTAAAAGCTAAAAAAGAACATTTGCTTTATAAATTATCCGAGCTATCTTGAACAGACTTGGTGACGACAATTCATATCACAACCTTATACTCAAGGTATGTGTTCATAACTTACGTCCAACACGTTACAAGGGTGTTCTTTATACTCTTTATACTATAATAGGCTAATAGACTAAATACGAAATTTAACTGACAGATAATACTGTAAGCGCCATAAATTCAGTCATATTAGGCTAACGTTTATTGGCTCAATAATCACAATAATCGTAACAGTAAAAAAAGTCTGATACGAACAGGTCAACTCTCCCTAAACTGTCAGAACATTTGCACATGTTTGAAAACCCTCCGCAAAATTGAAACCACCTCGGCTCTTTATACTACGAAAGTTGAAATTATTTAAAAAAGATATCAAAACCGAAGAAGGAAGACACACAAAAATTAACCAAATACCCCAACCAAAGGCCCTAACATAATGATCCTTGGAAAAAACTGATTTCGTAATTTAATAACAAAATATGCTGAGCTCATCACAAATCCATTTAGCCAAACAATTTTTATGTCATATAGTATCCATTGCACCAAGAGAGTGCTCACGCCATAGCTCACTTGGCGCCGTTTGGGCTTATTAGCTATGGCATATATACTTGTAGTTTTGAGTCGAAATTTTATTTTGTCATTCTGAAAACCATGTTGTTGTAAGTTTTATTGATATTGTTGCCGTGTTGCTCCAGAGTTAAAATTGCTGTTACTTCTTGCATTAGACGGCTAAGTTAGTCGTTACTTTATATTATAAGTCAAGATGTTTTAGCCCTATTATTGCAAAGGCGGAGCAGTTAAGAAAAATATTCAGCAATTATGATATCTTGACATCATCTAGACTTAGGTGACCATATTGTCTCTGCGAAATCCGGGATGATCGATCAATTTATTCCATATCAAAATTCACTGAAAGTAGTGACATATATGAGGTGAGAGAGAAACACAATTTTATTCAATTCATAATTTTTTTTTTATTTTTAAGTCCGAGACGCTTAACTCGGCATCCGGACTGTCCCGGCCAAACCGCGACCAATGGTCCCCTAAATTTAGACAAATGACCAGTCGGAAGCTCTATGATTAGAAGGACACTCTTCAGTATTTCTTTCTGAATGACGGAAGCGACCTAGACCTCTTATGATTCCCTTTAGAGGAAGTATATCACCAGAGTATATTACTGGCGACTAATCAATCTTCACAGAGCTTGCCCAGCATAGCTTTTCAAAAGTAGGTCGCAAGAGCACAAGAGAACTTCTATACGTTCCTAGTGCCAAGAAAGTGATGCTAGAATGCATCTCCTTGTAATCACCAGCCTTGCCGTTCCTAGAGATCCTAGAGGGATTCATGTTAATAAAACAGTTAGTGAGTACTGTAAATTCGTGAAAAACTTGAAAGAAAGAAACACAACAGCCGGTTGTATGTAATCGGAATTGACCAGGACTTTATCCGGCCAGGGACTGTTGTTTCGCGTACTAAGCCTGTTTGGATAGATGAGGAGTATTACTTAAAAGTTAATGAAAGTGTGTCCAAAAAGGACAGGCATTTTAGCATCTTTTATGGTCTCTGTGAACGCTTTGAACTGATTGTGATAAAAAATGGTCATTTAAGGAGTTTCGCAGTGAAGCATATTTTGAAAGTAATAAGACAAAGATTCTTCTATAAAATTTATTATTTTGACATTTTCGGTAACGTTCAATGACATATGCGGGGTCCTTATGCTATAAACACAAAAGAATATAGTAATTAGGGAGAGTGTGTAAGTGAGCTGACAAAGCTGAAACTCAAATGAAGGTAATTTTAAAATAAATCTGAAACGTGACGTCTTAAAAAAGAAGAAAAAAAATTCGTTTGCACCGAATCTGTAATACCCTTCACAAATACAAAAGATTCCTCACAAGACCTTTTGATCGGCCTGTTTGTATGGCAGCTATATGCTATAGTGGTTCGATATCGGCGGTTCCGATAAACGAGCAGCTTCTTGAGGCGAAAAAGACATGTGCAAAAATTCAGTTCGATATCTCAAAAATTGAGGGACTAGTTCGCGTTTATACAGACTCTTCATGCTGATCATTTATGTATACATTTTATAGCGTTCTTCGACGTTTCCTTCCTGGTGTTACAAACATCGTGGCAATACCCTGCTCTGGGTATAAAAATTTTAACCCATATATTTTTATGTTTACATATACATACAGAAGCAAACACATATGTATCTGCATAACTATAAAACTACTTCTTTCAATTAACTGATTGATAACTTATCAATAGGTCAGTTATTAAAGCCATAAAGCGCACGTGAAAACCTAAACAAATTATGACGTGATTTTATTGAAGCCCCAGAAATCTGAGTATCAGATATTGAATGTTTATATTTACACACAGATACTTGTATTGTAAGTGCAATAATCATAAAACTGTTCGCAACGACACAAGCGACTTTCGTTTTCCTCAATTACAACAACCACACAGCGGTCTCGCAAGTCACCACCGACGGTAAAACGACAAAATTGTAGAATATTTCGTATAAATATATATGTTTGGTTGTATGATTTCTGAGCATGTGTATTTGTATGTGTGTAGAGTCTCTCCTCGCATACGCTTATCGCCGGCAAACGAGTATTAATTTGTTGTAGCGCCTGACATTTTTATGGACGCATTTTTATGTAACGCGTTGCTTTATTGTTGTTGTTGTGGTTATTGTTATATTACCAGCCCGCAGCGTAAAACTATTAAAGTTGTTGTATTTCTTCTTTTACGCTTTTTGTTTAGTTTTATTTATACATTTTTTTTTAATTTGGTAGCGCCCTTTTAGTTCTACTTTGCTTTGGTGCTGATTTTTTTTTTTTTTGTTATTTTTAGGTTTAAGTAAATATGAAGCAATATTTTATTATATGCAATAAATTAGTCATTTGTTAAGCGCAAATGACACACGTCACAATGTGCAGACTTCGCAAACTTAAAAGCTTTCTGTGCCATCAAAGCAACTGTGCGTTTTCATTTGAAGCTTGGCAAGCCTGCTAGCTTTAAGGGGTACTAACAAATGGGTAATCAATTGGTTATGTAGTATTATTCGCATTTAAATGTATTATAGTATTCAAAGTTTATAAGTTTACAGTAATTATTAAAGAACAATTAAATTAATAGACAAAGTAATATGGAAAATTTATTGGATTGTATTCACTCGGGATTACAGAAAACTAATGAAGTATAAGACAATGTTATATGAAAAAGGAATTACCGAAGTAATGGGAATGATTATTGAGTTAACATTTTACATGAAAGATGAATATATTTGTGGTTAAAATTTTTACTTTAATTAAACAAAAATATTTTGAACCAATTTTATACAGAATGTTCAACGAGTCTAACCCTGGCTTGTTATTTGAATGTGCAATTTAAGTAAATTTTTTATGTATACATTAAAACACAACTTTTTTAATACTTTGGAAAAATGTATTAGTTTCTTTAGTATTTTAGTTTTTTCCCTTATTTGATAGAGAGAGTTGATATTTTTGCATATATGAAGCAATGCAGCAATGATTTGAGACTTAATAGTATATATTCCTATTGTGACTAGAAAGTTTACGGAAATTGTAAATAAAACGAAAAATTTTTAATCTTCTTTTTAATTCTTTAAATTCAAAATATGCTCCTTCTTTCCTTAATTAATTTCCTTAAATTTTTTGATGTTATGGTTAGTGGTAGACGTCATAGTACAACCGGAACGAGGTATGTCTTCGACGGTTTCTCGACCATCCTTAAAGGCTTTGTACCAGTCGTAGACTTGGTTTTTCGATAGAATAGATTCACCATTCTAACATTCGCAATGATTCCGCACGCAAAATTTGGTTCGAAACACAAAATTGAATGCAAATTCTTGGTTCAATATTTTTTTTCCATTTTAAAAATCGCAAAACACTACTGAGATCGACTGATTTCTATTCTATTTAACTTTGAATCTGTAACTAAGCAAGGAAATATGAATAATTAAATATTCCCAAAGATTTTAAATAATTATAATTTGTAACTTTATTTACTTTTCTTCCCATTACTACGATGTTGATCGTGAGAGTCCAACTCTACTTCAAGCTTTTTCGAGGTTGAGCTCTAAAAAGCCTAGTATGAGATAATACAGAAACTTCGATAAAAATGAAATAAATTAAGAATGAACAGTCATTTAAAGAATCATTATTACACTGACTGGCAAAATCGGGATTTTTGTGGGTATTGAACATAACTAAGTTGTTTGGAAAGATTGAGTCGGAAGTACTTGTTTCTACGTTTTTCGAAGTTGGCATCCAAAATCGAAGTATCTATGTATATGTCTTAGAATTTCGAATTTGAGCTTATTGAAAAAAATTAATAATTATTATAGTAATTAATTAAGTAATATGGACGTCATCTACATTTTCCTCTTGTTTCAATGTTGAATAAATATTCTTCGGTCAAAGCTTATTTGATGGTCGTCACAAAGTTTTCAAGTCGGTAATTTTTAATTAAAGTTTATTTTTTTTTCGAAAACTTAACTTTCACCCTTTATAGCATCTGTTATATAAGCTTCATAAATTATTTTTGAGGTTAACTTCGAAAAACGGTGAAGTTACTTTTTTACTTATGACTCAATCTCGTAAAAAAATTTGATTAGTAAAATACCCAGTAGATTTTTTTTAATATATTGGCTTCTTTCATACTTCTTTACAAGTATTTTTGCTTAAAAAAGCTGGGAGAATAGTGAAGAGGGTATAATC